AAAAAAACCAAAAAAATGGCTGTGGCTTGTTAAAGGTTAGCCCTTGTTCGCCAAACGCTAAATTAGAGAATTTCACAGTAAGGTAACGGCAAAATTACCCATTTTTCGAGAAAAACTTGTAGAATATTTTTTAAAGAATTTAAAAAAACCTTTCTTCTTTTTTTAAGAAGAAACAGCATAAAAATTAAATAAGGTAGATCCATAGGTACTTTTATCAGCGAAAAAATCAGCGCAAGCAATCCCCTACTTACCACCCTGATTAAAATTAGTGCTCCCTTTTCCAGTCTTTTTCTAATTACGTATTATTAACACATTCTAAAAGTGTGACCAGTTTAGAAGACAATTTTGAAATAATTGAAGCGGATTTAATATTTAAAACTAGCATCTTGTAGAGGAAAGCAATGCCCATAATAATGTGTTTTGAAATTTTTTTTAAAATAACTTCAGTAAAAAATAAAATTGATTTTTCAAAAATTTTTTTTTCAGGATATTTTCGAAAATAGTCGGAATTTTTTCAGTTTCAAAACTGCATTTTGTTAAGCTTCAAAATACGCAACGTTGCTAAATTTAAACTACCCATCTCTTACAGTTCCCGAGATCCCCATGGTGGCCCTCGAATTTGAATCGGCTTGTATACAGGGCGATTCAAAAAGTATACCACTACTTTAAAAATATGAATTTTAATTTAAGAAACACCATGGGTGATATCAAAATGAAGGTATTAAAATAAGTTTTCCACTAGAAATATGTTCACAGTTGTTCAATATGACCCCACTTTAGAGATGAGTGCATAGTGTATGGTAAAAAAAACAAATTTTGCCCCCCCCCCTCTCCTTCTCAAATTCCCTTCATGTTCCTCTCCATGAAATTCTTCGTTCTTCGCCCTATCCAAATTTACCCTCAACCTATCAACAAATTCTTTGCCTAAATTTCTTTCCTCAAGTTTCCGCGTTCCCCTATCAGTTTCTTTGAAGTCAATTCCCCTCAATTTCCCTTAAGCTTCCCTCAATCTCCTCATAAGCCACCTTCGAATGCCTTTTAAACTTTCCCACAAGTTTTTCTTCGCCATCTCCTTAATTCCTTCTAGGATCACACAAGTTTCCCTAAAATTTATTGTTTCCCTAACGTCTAGTCAGATCACCGTCAATTTATTTTAAAGTCCCATCATCCCCATTCTCAGCAACCACTCCACATACAAACATTCAACTCCCTCGATCGTTTAGGACAAAAACCCCCGGGCAGTTTGATACCTACGCACTCTAGGAAAATGACGAAAAATAACCTAAACCTACAATTAACCTAGTGGGGGTCAGCCTACTTTTGAATTCCTTAAGAATCTACATGGAAGTAATGATCAAACTGTAGAAAATACCACAGGGGGGTTACTGCGTCCTCCGGGGGTTATTGCCTCTCGGGATTCATGGGGAGGGGCTGATTTTGGTCGGGGGTTATTGTCCTGTACCGCACTGTGACCTTTATTGTCAATTTTTTTAGGCACTTTTTACACTCTGTACTAATCAAGTAATAACAAATGAAGTTCGTGGTTCGCTCACAGGCATTTTTGATTCTGAAGGTCTCAAATAAAACCCTAAACAACCGATAGATCCGAATGTCTTTAAAAGTTCTAAGAGCTTCTAAAGGTCTTAAACTCCCTCAAGGCCTTTAAGGTCACTTGAGGACTAGTAAGTAATACTCTCAAATATCAATAAATACCTTCAAAGGCTCTTAAAGCTCCTTGTAACTAAATCTTCGGGAGAACTGTTGCGGACTCTTTGAGACTCTAGAACAAAAGAAGTCTTGGGATCTCTTATATAGACTTTTAAAGGTCGCTTAGAGACTTCTTAAATGCTCTTCAAGGTTCAGACTATTAAAAGCTGTTACGGACCCTCAAAAGCCTGCTTGAAGTTTTAAAGATCACTAAAGGGTTGTGGAGCAAAATTCTTGACTCATGAAGGCTCTTAAATATTGTTATAAACCAAAAGAAAAAGTTTTGAAGACCTTTAAATATTTTGTTTTTGTCATTATATCAAAGATCGACAAGAATTTGTTTCAGAATTACAGTTTGCTATTGCTTGGTCCTTGAAGGAGAAGACTTCTTTCTTGGAGACTCATGGAAACTCTTCGCAAAGATTTTGAAATGTTTACTGAAGACTGAAAATGCCTTTGGGGGATTTTTATTGATTTTTGGGGGCTTCTTGAAGCTTTTGGAAATTGTTAGCGACCCTTAAAAGGGTCGTAAAGGTTCCTGAAAATCAGCGACACTTTTTTCAAGGACACTTAGAGATCTATAAACCTTGAATATGGTAAAAGCTCTTTATGATTCGGATAGTAAATACTTTTAAAGATCACTGTAAAGAGTCTCGCAAGGTTCTAAAGGGTTCATATAAAGACCACCAAAACCACTTTGATTTTAGTACTTAAAGGGACCCTTAATAAAATCTTGGTCTCGCATTCATGAAGGTCCTAAAGTCCCTTTAAAATTCTTAAAGATCGTCAATTGAAGAACTCAGGAGTCTAATTTCTGGAGCATTTTTAGAGGGCGCTTCGTGTTAGTGGTTTTTAAACGCTCTAAAGGCCAAATAAAGGCTACTCTTGCAGTCTTTTGAAACGTGACAATTTTTTTACACTCTCAAGGACTCTCGGTAGTTCTTAAAAGCGCGTGAAGGCCTCATAGACCTCTTGAAAGCCTTGAGGATTAATGAATACTTCAGAATTAAAATTTTTCGCGACTTGGTTCTTGATAGAAAAGACCCTCAAAGCTTCCAGAAGACTTTTGAGGTGTGTTGAAGGGGCAAAGAAATTCTTCAAGCTTCTTAAGGTTTTTTGAAGGTTTTTAAAGACACAAAAACTTTAGATTAGGAGATTCTTATAGATTTTTGGGAGCTTCTTTAAGCCCTTCGAAAAATTTGAGACTGTAAAGCCTCTAGAACAAAAGAAATCTTGGGATCTCTTATGTAGACTTTTAAAGATCGCTTCGAGACTTCTTAAAGGCTCTTCAAGGTTCAGACTATTAAAAGCTCTTACGGACACTCTCAAAATGAAATTTTAAAGATCACTAAAGGGTTGTGGAGCGAAATTCTTGACTCATAAAGGTTCTTAAATATTGTTATAAACCAAAAGAAAAAGCTTCGAAGACCTTTAAATATTTTGTTTTTGTCATTATATCAAAGATCGACAAGAATTTGTTTCAGAAGTACAGTTTGCTATTGATTGGTCCTTGAGGGAGAAGACTTCTTTCTTGGAGACTCATGGAAACTCTTCTCAAAGATTTTGAAATTTTTACTGAAGACTCAAAACGCCTTTGGGGGATGTTTATTGATTTTTGGGGGCTTCTTGAAGCTTTTGGAAGTTGTTAGCGACCCTTAAGAGATGTGTAAAGGTTCAGCGACACTTTTTTCAAAGACACTTAGATCATAAACCTTGTATCTTGTCTTAGAGGCTTTCCATATTCGAATATGGTAAAAGCTCTTTATGATTCGAATAGTAAATACTTTTAAAGATCACTTTAAAGAGTCTCGCAAGGTTCTAAAGGGTTCATATAAAGGCCACGAAAACCACTTTGATTTTAGTACTTAAATGGGCCCTTAATAAAATCTTAGTCTCGCATAAACGCTTCATGAAGGTCCTAAAGTCCCTTTAAAAGATCGGCAATTGAAGAACTCGGGGGTCTAATTTCTGGAGCATTCTTAGAGGGCGCTTCGGGTTAATGGTTTTTAAACGCCTTAAAGGCCAAATAAAGGCTACTCTTGGAGTCTTTTGAAACGTTTCAATTTTTTTGACACTCTCAAGGACTCTTAGTGGTTCTTAAAAGCGTGCGACGGCCGCATAAACCTCTCAAAAGTACGGGAAAGCCTTGGGGATTAATTAATACTTCAGAATTATTATTTTTCGCGACTTGGTTCTTGATAGAAAAGACCCTCAAAGCTTCCAGAGGGCTTTTGATGGGGGCGCAAAGAAATTGTTCAAGCTTCAAGGTCTTTTGAAGGTTTTTAAAGACACAAAAAATCTTACATTAGGAGAATCTTGTAGATTTTTGGGAGCTTCTTTAAGCCCTGCGAAAAATTTGCGGACGCTGAAGTAAGAAGGTTCGAAGAAATTCCCAGGAAACGTCAAGAGATAATGCTCAAAGGAGATGCGGGGAAAGGAAAGTATGAAAGAGGCGTCGAACAATCTCCAAGAAGCTGCCAAAACGATGCGTAGGAGGTCTGTAGGAAAACGTGCAGAAGACTCAAAAGAGGCGCCAAGAAGAAGTGAAAAAATTCCGAAGAAGACGTGAGGAAAGTTCGAAGGAAGCTCAAAGAAAACCGTTGCAGAGACTCGAAGGACTCCAAGGAAGCGTAAGACATCAGGAAACGTGCCAAAAAGGCGCGAAAATGGTCCGGAGAGATGTAAAGGAGGCCTACAGAAAAAGCCAACGGAAGAGTGTAGAATACTCGAAGAAGATGTGAAGATAGCTCGAAAAAGGAATGAAGAAGGCCCAAAGGAAGAGTGAAGATAGTGATGGGGGTGTAAAGAAGATTCAAAAGGGGCGTGAAGGGGGCTTGAAAGAGTTATCAAGAATCCTCTAGGGAAGCGCGCGGGGAAGGCTCGAAGAAGGTGGGCATCTAGAAGGCTTGAAATAGGTGTAGAGTTTAGAGGAAGTAAAAACGATTTGAATGAGGCGTGAAAAGGGAAGAGAAAACAATTGGGATAATCCGCCGCTGTCAATATATGTCCATAATTTCAGGACAGCCTGTATATCCTATCGGAACGCATGTACCATTTGTCATCGGTAGAGTCATCATTAACATAATGTGAATTGCGTACACTAAAGACGCGTGTTCCGTCTTCCGTAAGTCGAAATTAAACTCGGCGCAGTTATAAATAAGGCGAAGCGACATCGCCCGTGTACCTATTCGGTTACGACGTCATAAATCAGCAACCCCTAACTGCCGTTTAAAAATACAACTATTTCCGATTATTTATTGGGTGGTGACGAATTCTTTTTTTTTCATTTCCAGATGCGAGGGTATCAATATTGAATATGTTCCATTCTGGTACGGGAGGAAGCGGCGGATATCACGGCGATGGAGGTACGACGTTTCACCAGCACCACCTGCAGCAGTCCCCCGTCTACGTGCCGGGCAGCAGAACGATGTCGCAGTACTCCTCGGCGGCCGGCGGTCACTTCGGCGCCCCGGCCCACCAGTCGAGCTGGGCGCATACGGCGGCCGGCGGTTACGGCGACGTCACCGGCCCGTCGCCTCACGCCCTGGGCGCGTCCTCGCATCACGGACTGGCGGCGGGTCAGTTTTACGCGCAGAACATGATGATGAGCTCCTGGAGGGCGTACGACGCCAGCGGCTTCCAGAGGACGTCGCCGTATGGTAAGCACTTAAAAATAATCACCACTTGACCAATCTAACCTCCGCGCAGCGTCTGGCAATCGGCCTTTGAAGTGTGATTTACACTGATGCCTCTTATCATATTCCCTAATGCAGTCTTTAAATAACCGCCCCGAATGCCTTTAGATCCGCAACGGCTTATCTAACGGCCATAATTCAACTTGCAGTATTTTTAAATTTCTGACGTCATCGATTTCAATTTTTTTTCAGATAGCATGGAATTTCAATTCAGCGAGGGGAGGGAGTGCGTCAACTGCGGCGCGATTTCGACGCCCTTATGGCGAAGGGACGGAACGGGGCACTACCTCTGCAACGCATGCGGCTTGTACCATAAGATGAACGGCATGAATCGGCCACTCATTAAACCTTCAAAACGACTGGTAGGTTTCTTCGTTATTCACAATTTTTTTTTTTCGTATACCTATAATTTCTACCGCAAGATGGCGCACCTCAAAATTTGCCTACAAAATACAATGGTACAAATCTTAGCTTCGACATTCTAGGTGACTCTTAAGAGCTTTAAAGACTTATGTAAATGTTCTAAAAGCCTTTTTGGAAATTCTCAATACTCAGAGACTCAATTTTTAAAGCCTGTTAAGGAAAAATGTGTAAAGGCGATCAAGAATACTCGGAAAATTGCCATAATTCTCGATTTTTAAATGAGACACCCTGTATATTTTTTATTTATTTCGACACAAAATGACATTTCGGGTACAATGTCACCCCACTTGTCACTCCTTGTCAGATTCAAAGTTGAAAAAATCTAATTTTTTTACTTTTAATCCATTTTTTGATATGGAAACATTAAGGCTCATTTGTTTCTTAAAAAAGAGGTTTCCTACGAACATTTGAATACTATCCATCGACCATTTGAAGTGTTTAAAAAATAAAAAAAATGATCATCTAACAAAAAGTGGCAAGTGGTGTACTCAGAATGTCGTTTTGTATCAAAATAGACAAAAAAATACAGGGTGTCCTATTTAAATTTCGAAAATTAATCCCATTTTCGTCTAAACCGGAAGTGACACACATACCAAGACGCGATATTGTATTTGTAATCAGCGCTCCTCTGACTTTTCAAGAACCTCGAGTATCAGGAGAGTGTTATTTACGAGGAGATACTAGGATTAATTTACTGCTTCTTGTATTTTACCGCTCCTCATAGAAGTAGTAGGGGTTTCGAGAATAATTGAACAAGAAGTACTATCAGTATTAGGAAAACATAAATCTTGATTTTCTCTTGTTTTGAACTTCTGCTCTACCCAATATTATTCTTTAAATCGTTTTCAAGGGCTTATCGTATCAGGAAAACCGAGAAAGTAAGTTACTGCAAGATATTTGACCTAATTAAAGATTGCGTTTCACCAATACCAATAAAAGTTTTTAAAATTAATCTTTGGAGCTTGAGAGTCGGTGTTCAAGACGTTAGGCCCTCTTGCATTTCTGAAATCCGTATACTAATAGTTGGCCATAAAGTTTGGGATTATTGGAGTAGTTTTTCGAGAACTTGCCGTATCTGAAGAACATAAATCGTGAATCTCTTTGTTTTTCTGTGCTCCTGATACCAACAAACTGTTTCAAAAGCAATCTTGGGAGTAATTTCTCAAAAACTGGCAGTGTCAGGAGCTTAACTTCGTCTTTGCCTTTCTGCGCTCCTCTTCGATGGTTTGACATCATTCTTGGAAGATTCAGAGTAATTGCTCAAAGAAGAACATGAGTCACGAGTAGATAGGTTAAATTCTCTGAATGTCTGCCCTCCTGACACCAATAAACATTTTTAAATGAATCTTGATAGCTTAGTGTCCGGAGAACATAAATCACAAGGCTTAACGCTCGTGTATTTCTGGACTCCTAATACTAATAGCTGTTTACAATGTAAATTTTGGGAATATTTCGAGAACTTGTATTCGGAAAATATCACGGAATAGAAATTTACCTTAATTTACGCTCTCTGCAGTTCTGCACTCCTATTACTAACATTTGTCCAAACTGTCATTTTTGTAGTAACTGGAGAACATAAATCCCGAATGGAAATTTAGGTTAATTTACGTCTCCTTGACTGCGCTCCTGATACTAATAAAAAGAACTCAAAATTTTGATTCGGGGCAGAAATTTTTCAAAAATTTTACAATATACCTACTGGGAAAATAAAACACGAGTAGAGGTTTGACTTTATTTGTCTCTGTTTTGTTCTCCTGTTATTAATATTTGTCTTTAAAATCAACTTTTGAGTAACTCATCAAGGAAATGTTTGGTCCATTTTATCGGTTCATGTATTTCAACGCTCTCGATTGCCTTTCGGGCCACGGAAACAATGTTTGAAGAATTTACAGTTTAAGGAGAACAGGAGAATAGTTGTTCATAAAGTTGACTTTCGGATTATGTGGGTCATTTTTCAAGAACTTACAGCATCAGGGGAACATACATGACAAGTAGATATTTGGCTCAATTTGCGCCTTCTTGCATATCTACACTCCTGATAGTAGAGAAGCAGAAATTTAGCTTCGTTACATTTCTGCTCTCCTGCGGCCAATAACTGTTTTTAAAATTAATCTCAAGAGCTTGAAAGTAATGCATCAGGGGAACATAAATTACAGACTTAATTCACGCTCTCGTGCTATTCTGGAGTATCCGAGGAACATAAATCGCGAGTGGGAATTTACATATCCTGCATTTCTGCGCGCTTGATAGCAATATACCGTATGTTTCAAAAATCAATTTTTGGAGCCTGAGAGTTCAGAAGAACATAAATCACAATTAGATATTTCGCTTAAACTTGCATTTCTGCACTCCTGATACCAATAGTTGTTCATCTTGAAAGTTTCATAGTAACTTTCCACGAAATTGCAGCATCATGAGAACAAACATTACATACGCGCACTGGCATTTCTGCATTCCTGATACTAATATTTATATTAATTCCAGGGAATCAGAAAATCCTCTTATAGGAAATACTAAAATATGGTTGAAACGTGCAACTATTTATAAAGTCAACTGTGGGATTATGCGAGTAATTTTTCGACAACTTTCAGTATCCGGAGAACATAAATCGCGAGTAGAAATATAGTTTCATTTGGGTCCGTCCTCTTAAATTTCTGCGATTTTGATAACAAAGAGGTTTCTAAAATGATTCTTACAGTATTTTTCAAGAACTTGTCGCATCAGGAGACCATACAATGCAATGTTCGACTTAATTTATGCCCTTTTGCACTTCTGTACTCCTGGTAGACGTTCATAAAATAAATTTTTCTAGGACTGGACAGTATACGAAGACCGTAAAGCACGAGTAGAAATTGAGATTGGCGCCTCCTTGCTTTCTGTGCTCTTGATACCAATAAATGTGTTCAAACGAATCATGAGTTGTATTTCAAGAATTTGTAGTATCGGGAGAACATAAATGACTAGTAGAAATTTAGCTTAATGTATGCCTTCTTGCATTCTGATACCAATGAATGTTTTAAAATCAAACGAGAATAATTTTCCCAATATGTATACCAGGAGAACATAAATCTAAAAAAAATGTTAGCTTTAATTTAATTTAATTTTTCGAGAACTTGCCGTATCCGAAATAATAAACTTGTATCAAATATAGCAAACGAACTCCTGGGTCACTGAACGTTAATCAGTTCTTCTTTGGGTGATGATAAACAAAATACTGAAAACAGATTTGGAAATTCGAAACCTTTCGGGAGTTATCTTGTCCACAGACGGACAGAAAGTCCAAAACCATGAACTCGCTAGGAGCTCGTTAATAATAAATTGCGAGTATACAATTGGCCTCTTTGTATTTCTGCGCTCCTTCTTTTCAAAAGCAATCTTGGAAGCTTGAGAATAATTTTTCAAGAACTGGTAGCGTCGCGAGTAGAAATTTAGTTTCGTTTCTTCTTGCCTTTCTGCTCTCCTGATAATAATATTTGGTTTGAAATCATTCTTGGGAGTAATTTTTCAAAACTTGTAGCAGCAGGAATACGTGAGTAACAATCAGACATTCATTTTCCGTACATCTCTGCGCTCCTGACACCAATAAACATTTTGAGAGATTAATAGTTTTTTTTAAAGGACTTGTAGCATCAGGAGAACATAAATCACAAGTATTTATTTGTCTTTAATTACGCCCTCTAGCATTTATGCACTTCTGTGCTAATAATTGTTGTTGAAAAAGTCAATTTTAAGGATTTACGCCCTCTTGCATTTATGGACTCCTGATACCAATAGTTTTATAAAGTCAATTTTGGGATTATATTAAGTTTTTCGAGAACTTGTAGTATTCGGCGAACATAAATCACGAATAGAAATTTAGCTTAATTTCGTCTCCTTGCCTTTGCTCCTGATACTAATACAAAATACTCAAAAGTACTCTTGGGATCTTGAGGGTACTTTTACAAGAAATTTTAACACAAGTAGATATCTGGTTTAATTTACACCCTCTTACATTTTTGGTGTTTCTGATATCAATAATCATTCTTAAAATCGACTTTTGGTTCAGGATAGAAATTTACAATATACCTACGAGGAACATAAAACATGAGCTTTATTTGATTTTGTGTTGTTCTCCTGTTATGAATATTTGTTCTGAAAATCAACTTTTGAGTAACTTACCAAGGATTTGTAGTATCAAAAAAACATTGTTTTTGCATTTCTGCGCTTCTGATAGATTCTTAAAATTTTCAAGAACGTAACAGAAGAAAGTGACAACGCTCTTAATTTTTTTAATTGTCTTTAGAGTCAAGTCAGTAATTGTTGAAAAATTAGCAATAACGCGAACAGACTTAATTGACCCCCTCTGTACTCCTGCTACTAATAGATGTTCATAAAATAAATCTTGGGTTTGCAAGAGAAATTTTTCGAAAACTTGCAGTACCCGGGGAACATAAATCACGAATAGAAATTTATTTATCCTTGGATTTCTGCGCTTTTGATACCAATATATGCGTGTATGTCAAAAATCAATTTTTGGAGCCTAAAAGTAATTTGCGGCATCAGAGGAACATAAATCATGAGCTTATTTTAGCATAGGAGTTTGAGAGTCATTTTTTAAGAACTTGTACCATCAGGAAAACACAAATTTCAATTAAATATGTGGTTTAATCTGGCATTTCTGTACTTCTGATACTAATAGTTATTCATCTTGAAAGTTTGGCAGTATGCTCTGGCATTTCTGCATTCCTGTTACGAAAATTTATATTAATTACTGTTAGAGAAACAGAAAATAAATCTTTCAATAATAGCAAATACAGATCCTATTCATAAAACAGTGGAAATGTTGCAACTGTTCATGAAGTCTTGAATTATACGACTGTATGCGAGTAATTTTTCGAGCACTTCCAGTATCCGGAGAACATAAATCGCGAGTAAAAATTTAGTTTAATTTGGGCCTTCTCGAATTTCTGCAATTTTGATAACAAAAAGGTGTTTAAAATCAGTCTTACTGAAACTTTTCAAGAACTCGTCGCATCAGGGGACCATATAATGTCCTTTGGCATTTCTGCACTCCTGGTACAAAACTTGCAGTATACGAAGAGCATCAAATCACGAGTAGAAATTTGAATTTCAGCGCTCTCGATACCAATAAATGTGTTAAAATGAATCATGAACACTTGAGGGTTATATTTTCAAGAATGTGTGGTATCCGGAAAACATAAATCACTAGTATTTTTGCCTTCTTGCATTTTGATACCGAATGTTTTTGTAATCAATCTTGAGAGTAATTTTTCAAGAATTTGTGGTATCAGGCGAACATAAATCATAAGAAAATGGCGGGATTTAAGAGCAATTTTTCGAGTAGTATCCGGAGCACATAACTTACATCGGGAATAGAAATTGAGCTATTTTTGCTCTTTCGCGATACCAATAAACGTTACAGTCAATTTTAGGAGCTTGAGTCATTTTTCAAAAAATTAAAACATCAGAAGAAGGGGGGGGGAGAGATCCTACGGTAGTTGCAGAGACAGAGGCATTGACATTTCTTTCCTAAGGAATGTTCGCAGGGGAACCCAACCATGCAGCGCTTAGGAACTTTTTCGCAACTACGTTCAGAAACGTCCCTGAGAACGCAGGGAGCAATTTCTTAGGGTAGGCTCGGACCCGACCACCCCCCTATTCCGCAGTGCGCTGGCACCCAAATCAAGCTTACCAAATTATACTCACCTAATCTATCCAGAGTTGGTGTGCCGAAAGGGTCCTCAGCGCCGCCCGACTGTCACTGCATATGTATACAGAGTGTTCCTTAAAGACATGCTAATATTTAAGGGGGTGATTCTTGGACCCATTTTAAGAAAAAAAACTTTCTATGAGCGTATGTCCTAAACGTTTTAATTTTTGAGATACCCAAGTAGAAACACTTTTTATATGAATTTATTTATAAGGTTTAGTTTTAATTACAAACAAATAATTGATATAATTGTTTAATTTTTAGAGAAATATACCTACTCCTATTTTATTATTTCCGCATCATTACGTCAACAGGAGGTGATGGGGCTATATATCTAATTTTACTTTTAAAAATATATTACGAAGTTCAGAGTGGTTTTCCAAAATAATGACAATTTCAAGTTTATTTTGCATTTTAAACAATTAAAACCAATAAATGTAATAACTGAATCGTGTTTCAGAGAAACTAACGGTTACACGACGTTATTAAGCCCTCCCTCACGGTACAATCATGAAATTGATAAAAACTGCTATCTTAATTAAGAGTTTTCAACAAAAAAATTTGCGGACGCAGCCCTAAATTTTCCACGATCATAATACAAAGTTCACATAATTTCGTCGAAATGTGCGCTTATGTTACACCATAGCTCATGATTACTTTTAAGTTGGGAAGAGTGTGCGTAACATTCCAACTTCAATTTCTTAGGAGGATATATGTTACTTTTTCACGATAGTACTCCAGAATTATTTTCCAAATTTATTTTTTTGCGACCTTAAGTGCAAGGATTCTATTGATGAATTCAGTTGCAAACTTCAGGAAATGGGAGCATACAAAGTTTAAGGACCTTGCGAAAAACTTAAAATATATGGCGACATGATACATTTTAATTAGCTACATATATTTTTCGAAACTTATAGTAACAAATCTAATGTCCTTAATATTATGCGGAGGACTCCATTTAAAGTGTAATTTATAGTTCCTAATAAATATGTATATAGCTACAAGCTACAAGTCTTTTATACACCGATTTCCAATCGTGAAGGTATGCGGTTTGTAATAATAAATAATCTTCTTTCTGCTTTCAGACAGCAACGAGAAGGTTGGGACTGTGCTGTACGAACTGCGGCACTCGAACGACAACCCTCTGGCGTCGCAATAACGACGGCGAACCCGTCTGTAACGCGTGCGGTCTTTACTTTAAATTGCACGGTGTAAATCGGCCTTTAGCGATGAGAAAAGATGGTATTCAAACACGCAAACGTAAACCGAAGAAGCCGGCGGGAGGCGAACGGGATGACAGCGGCGCGGCCTCCCGTGACGGTACGTATCCGCCCACTTGTTTTATTGGCTGGGGGAAATCGAAAATCGGCACCGGAAAAAGTGGAGGGGATATTATGACTTTTACAATCTTCTGCGATCCTGGTAGATCATACACAATCTTTAGCCATCAGGGTTCAAGATTGTAATGTATGTGCACATTTATTTATTCTTGTAATCTCCCATGAATCCTTCTTTCGAATTAGTTGCTTTGGGAAACACAATTTTTCTGAATTGGGAAGATATGCAACTAATCGTACACGGTTGTGTATGGTTGGTTGCCTATCCACGAATTTACATTCAAAGCTATTGTTTCATTGCCGCGTATCAGAACTTTGCTACTTCGAATAAGGTAGGAAACTGCTAAGGGTCTTAGTGCATACCTTTTATACATATATGGTGCATACTATCATAGAGTAAATAATATATACTGTATGATACTATACAGGGTGTTTACTGTCTTATGGTTTTATTTTTAAGGGGGGCAAAAAGTGATAAAACTCGAATAATAAGACTGAGCGGGGTAATAACTTTGAAGGACTGCTATAAAATTACGTTTATTGTTAATTATTATTATTAATTAAGATATTTAATTATTTTAATTTCTTTCAGAATCGAAGGCAACAATAATTCAACAAAATTCGTCACAAAACTCCACTCACGCCCACAACACCCATCATCAACTGGACCATCACAGCACATCAAAAAATTCCATGGAGGACCGGCCGTACCTGGGACAAACCTCGTTGCTATCGTCGTCAACGGCGAACACGATAAAAAGCGAGCCAGGCTACGAGTACAGCTGCATCCAAAACCAGCCGTACCCTTTCCAGCAGGTCTTCGGTTTTGGAACGACGGGAAATACGACAGACATCCCCTACCACCATCAGCACCACGTGACGGCCGCCGCGAAGTTGATGGCTTCCTCATAGTCCGTTGAATTACCCCGTCGTTAAAACACTGTACATAATCATTAAAAACGTTTAGTAATTGTTAATCGTGATCACTGAATATTGTTCTCGTTTTGTGATCGTAGCCCTAGATCCTATTTATTATTGCCATTTACGTAGAGATTTTTCAAAATATTTAGCTTTATACCTGTACCAGTGAATAAATGACACAATCGTGCAATAAGCTTTTTAAAAAATCAAATTGTGGTTCCTATAATTTCTTGTATTTTTTTAAAATGTCCAACGTCTTCGCTTTTATTTTCGTTTGATGGCACAAAAAGTACACGTTTTAGTATTAAGGTATTATTGAAATAAGTAAATGTTTATAAATTTTTGTACATATTTCTTGTAGGTATGTAAAAGTTTACCAACATTCGCAATAAATAAACTGTATGGACATTATTTTGAATCAGGGGCTAAAACGGTTTCAGATTCCCTTGTAGATGAGGTTAAAGATTACCCCCAACAGATATCTTAATTATGGGATAAAGGCACAAAAAACACTTCCCTTACAGATTTTCCCGTTTTTATCGTGAACCCAGGTAGAGAAAATGTATGGAACACTTATGGCGAATTGGCGAAAGAAAAAAGGATCCCTTCGTACTTTGTCATCTGGTAACCCCAAGCAGGTACGTATTACAAGCAGAAGCAAAGTCCCTCATTGTTAAAGGTTAAATTAAAATCTAAAATTGGCCCATAACTTTTGATTGAGACGTCTAATCGAAAAAGTACGAATCGTTTTGGATTCTACGCATCCAAATTAATAAGAAAAAGTTTTTTCCCGAGAAATTTTGGTGCAGTCGATTTTTGGTAAAAAAGGAAGGTTATACACTGCGTTTTTTTTTGGCTCAGAAAAAAAAATTGTCTCAGATCGACCGGAAAGGAAGGTATACACTGCCTTTACCGGGCCTTTAAACTAGAATTGCTCTACAGGATCTTGCAAGACTCCGTACATTTTGAACTGCCTTTTAAGGAAAATAAGTGCGACGTTGCTGTTAATCGCATAAATTCAAATGAAATTTACAAAGAAGTTGCGTACGTGGCAACATCTCAATTAGACTTCTAAAACTACAATTGAAAGATAGTGTATCGATTGCCAGGGAGATGGCGCACTAGTAGTTATTGTATTTAAATTATCTATTCAAAAAACCGGGTCTTTAAACTACAATTGCTCTACAGGATCTTGCAAGACTCCGTACATTTTGAACTGCCTTTTAAGGAATAATAAGTGCGACGTTGCTGTTAATCACATAAATTCAAATGAAATTTACAAAGAAGTTGCGTACGTGGCGACATCTCAATTAGACTTCGAAAACTATAATTGATAGAAAGTGTATCGATTGCCAAGGAGATGGCGCACTAGTAGTTATTGTATTTAAATAATTATCTATTCAAAAACCGGGCTTTTAAACTACAATTGCTCTACAGGATCTTGCAAAACTCCGTACATTTTGAACTGCCTTTTAAGGAATAATAAGTGCGACGTTGCTGTTTGAAATTTACAAAGAAGTTGCGTACGTGGCGACATCTCAACTAGACTTCGAAAACTATAAAATGATAGAAAGTATCAATTACCAAACGGAAAACAAAATTGAAAGTGCTGTGACTTTTGATCTAGTAGCACCATCTTCAAACTGTTTCAAATTATGGTTTCTACAGGCCAAATCCTATAAGCAAATGTTTTTTCCCCGGTCGATTTCAGACAATTTTTTTCTCCAACCCAAAAAACGAAGTATATAATCTTAGTTTTTCACCAAAAATCGACTACTTCAAAATTTAAATGTCTACAGAGACTTGCACTTTACTATTTGAACGCCGGTTTTTAATGTTTTTTGCATGCACATGCTCTTAAGAAACAAAAAAAAGTATTTACCTACTTTTATTTAAATAAACAAAATATAAATAAATAATAAACTAATCCCATTATTTACAACCTCCTCGATGAACACAAAAGCGTCCATTTTTCAACTTTCTATACAATGAGATGTATTTTCCGGCAGACGTTGTTCTCGGTACAATAAAATTTTCACAGAAGGCGGTTTTACTTGAAGCGGCGACGCTGAGATTGCCATAATTCAACGCGTGTAAGAATGTCAAGACGAAACTGTAACAGTTATTCTTCTCCTCGTCGTAATTCTTCGCCAACCAGCACTTTTGCTTGCACACTTGAAGAAGAACGTTGTCCCAGTGCTCTCTCCACGGCGAGCTCGCCTGATCCACCAACAAGCATTGATTCCACTCGTCGTTCATGTGTCGACGTAAACCGTTCTTGTCGAATTCCACAATTATTCCCGTCGATGTTGTTATGCCGATATGTAGGTCCATCGAATTGTAGTAGTCACTACAAAATGTCATTCATGCAGTTTTGCTTAAGTAATTACACAGTTTAAACGAGATGTTAGCAAATTACAAAGGAAGAGACATAAACTTTCGCATTTTTCGGACTTACTGCAAAAAATCGCCAACTGTAGGTTTGATAACGACAGCACAAGGATACTGCGACGCTCGTATAAACGGATACGGAACCCTAAAACAACCACTACCGGTGACAACTCCAACGATTACCTCCACTCACCGAAAAGGCATCAGGGAAAAGTTGGCGAGAGATAGATCGATGTGGCATACCGGACAGTAATCGGGTAACGAAATGCAAAACACCTTCGGCCCGCAATGTTCGAAGCAGACGACTCCCGGATCCATGTCAGCTCTGTAACGAAAAAACTAAATGAATTTGACCGATTTTTTACGGACGATTAACTTTATTGTAAATGCCCCCAATTAACGCGGCTATTTTCGAGATCGTTGCCTTCACCTTCATACTCATTCAATTTATTTATTTGGAGAAAGTTAAAAGGCAAATTTGAGGTTATGTAAACAAAGTAGAAATTTAACTGTTCTGAAGTTAGCTAATGATTCGTATTGAATACAAAGTGAGTCGTATACTAATATACAGGTTGATGAAGTTTAAATGAGTTAACTACCGTTACTTGCCAATATAATGTTTCTGTATCTAAATATCCATTCCACTATACTCTGCAAAATTTATATCTCTATCTGCTATTTAGATACAATTGTTCCACAATCCAAAAATATCCATTTCCCTACTATTTCCCCAACACCTCCGCCTTGTTGCACCTCGGCTTGTCTCGTCTTGGGATCTTGTCTCGTTCTGACTCGTCTCTAGCTTCCGGATATGCTCCCAGCTTCTTTTTTCAGGTTGTATAGGGACCTCTCCACGGCAGTATCATGTTTTTTTTTGTAAGTTAGTTAGTTGAATGTTATTATTAGATTTACTTATTTTTCAGCAACGACTGACATTATAGATAATGTAGATACCTGCTACGTAATTAGGGCTGTGTCCTGTGTAGTTTGTATAGTAATAAATAAATAATAAATAAATAAATATCACATATTTCTTAACCTATGCCAATTACGTTAATATGCAGGAATTAATATTGTTGTACTATTGTTATTATTCTACATTTCCTTGTTATATTTATATTTCCTTTTGTTTTGGAATGCCCTGTACAATATAGTATTATTGTTACACTAATGGGAGAGCAACCGAAATAGATCAATGACATTTTTACGGCTTTAAAATGCTTAAAAAACCATTTCTTGGGTGTCCGAGCTCCACTCAAAAAGCGCCAAATGAAATTAATTCAATACACAAAACGAGCTTTTGCGTAGAATCCAAAACGATTCGTACTTTTTTGATTAGACGTCTCAATCAAAAGTTATGGGCAAAAACCAATTTCGAAAAAAAATTCAAAGGGCTGTAACTTTTGATCTAGTAGCCCAATCTTGGAACTGTTTGAAATTATGGAATCTACAGGCCATATTCTATAAGAAAATGTTTTTTTCCGGTCGATCTGAGACAATTTTTTCTTGGAGCCTCAAAAAAAGGCAGTGTTTAACCTTCCTTTTTTTTTCAAAAATCGACTACACCCAAACTTCTCGGGATAACACCTTTTCTTATTAATTTTGGTGCGTAGAATCCAAAACGATTCGTACTTTTTCGATTAGACTTCTCAATCAAAAGTTATGCACTAAAAACCAATTTCGAAAGAAAATTCAAAAAAAAGGGCTGTAACTTTTGATCTAGTAGCCCAATCTTGGAACTGTTTGAAATTATGGAATCTACAGGCCATATTCTATAAGAAAATGTTTTTTTCCGGTCGATCTGAGACAATTTTTTCTTGGAGCCTCAAAAAAAGGCAGTGATTAACCTTCCATTTTTTCCAAAAATCGACTACACCCAAATTTCTCGGGAAAACACTTTTTCTTATTAATTTTGGTGCGTAGAATCCAAAACGATTCGTACTTTTTCGATTAAACTTCTCAATCAAAAGTTATGGACTAAAAACAAATTTCGAAAGAAAATTCAAAAAAAGGGCTGTAACTTTTGATCTAGTAGCCCAATCTTGGAACTGTTTGAAATTATGGAATCTACAGCACCAAAATTTCGGTATACACATTTTCTCATTATTCTACATTTCCTTCTTATATTTATATTTCCTTTTGTTTTGGAATGCCTTGTACAATATACTATTTTTGTTACACTAATGGGAGAGCAACCGAAATAGATCAAGGACAATTTTACGGCTTTAAAATGCTTAAAAACCATTTCTTGGGAGTCCGAGCTCCACTCAAAAAGCGCCAAATGAAATTAATTCAATACGCAAAACGAGCATCAACTTTGAACTTTCCGTACCTACCCGGTTATGTTGTATATACGTTGCCATGACAACCTGACATTTAATCTACATACACACGATCGTATGGTGATTATACCTACCCTTTTTTTTGAAACAGTTAGCGCCGGTAAAGTGTGAGTTATCAAAAACCCCTCTTCCATAAAAAGCGATTGTTAAAATAATTATACAAGGTGAGTGAATATAAATATATAAGGCAACCGATCAATATTTGCACTGTAAACTTAGTCAGTCACGCAACGTACCTACATACTCACCCAAAACAAATTCACCTTTTCCACATCAACTAAACGTAATAGTGAACGCAACCTCCGGTAGCAAAACGTTCCTTTTCTCTCCTCTCTAACGAGACGTTGTTAATTTAATACGCGGATATCCGACCCACTCATCTCATCTCACGATTGTCTTCCCCATTAACAAAGAAACAATTAGAATTTACAAGCGAGTACCATCGCACGCGAAACTCGCCAAAGTAACACCTCATTAAGCGAAACGGCCGCCGGTTTAAACCCGTTTAACTGTAAATTACATTCGCAAATCAAAAACAATGTACCCACCTAGCGCCCGCGCCGTCAAAATTGGGCCATCGCAAACAAATTCGGAAATTAGTCAATAGACGCGCGACCGTTACGCCGGAGCAATTAGTTTAATGGAACACGCTGTAAAGTGGGTAATAATTTGCTATTGTTGATTTTGTTTGTTAAATGAAAAGAGGTAGTCAGTCGGTCGGTTAGTATCTACTGTTACTTTCTCGGTATAGAGACGACCTACTAAAAATGGTAAATCAACAATTATTTGTTATTAAACAATTTCGTATTGCTCGGAAGTAGGTGGTGTAGCGTTCTTCTTTTTTTTCCCCAATCGAGAACCGTTAAGGATTTGATTGACGTATAGTCGATAATTGGCTAATTGGTTGAGCGTTCCAGTGAGAATGGGTCCCAAGTCATACAATTATACTAAGTATACAATGGAGAATATTCAGAGTTCGAGTTTGGTGTAAGAGATGTGGGTGGCAGGTGCCAGATTTCAACCCATAGTTGAGATTTTATTTTTTCAGTTTTTTGATCTCCCTGTATCTATTTATAATCAAAATATCAACACAGTTAAGATTCAAAAATTTTATTGAATTTTGAATTTTTTAAATCTTTTTTTGAATATAATTCATGGTGTGATATATTTTTTGAAAAGCTATATCGAAGATAAAAATATACAGGGTGTTCCATTCAACGGTAACTTTTTTACGTAACCCCGTATACCTACTTATTCTGAAGACAGCAGATTATGCAAAAATAATTGTATAAAACAATTTTCTGTATCTTTTTAACTAAGAAAATATATGGCCATTTTGAAATTGACAATTTTTCTATTTCCGTATCCCTTAAGAGTAATTATTATTTATCACTTACAATTTATAACAAAAGCACATCGAAGTTGGAACTGCCTCCAAACACAATTCGGCGCGAACTTGATGACAGTACTACTCGGCTTTGGATATCATACCTATAGTTGAGATTTTATTTTTAATGATTTTTTCAGCTTTTTTATCTCCCTGTATATATTTATAATCAAAATATCAACACAGTTAAGATTCAAAAATTTTATTAAATTTTGAATTTTTCAAATCTTTTTTTGAATATAATTCATGGTGTGATATATTTTTTTAAAAAGCTATATCGAAGATAAAAAATATACAGGATAACTTTTTACGTGACCCCGTATACCTACTTATTCTGAAGACAGCAGATTATTCAAAAATCATTGTATAAAACAATTTTCTATATCTTTTTAACTAAGAAAATATATGGCCATTCTGAAATTGACAATTTTTCTATTTCCGTATCCCTTAAGACCCCTTAACAGTAATTATTATTTATCACTTACAATTTATAACAAAAGCACGTCGAAGTTGGAACTGCCTCCAAACACAATTCGGCGCGAACTTGATGACGGTACTACTCGGCTCTGCGACTACTTGACTCAGGAACGATTCGGCTCTAGTATTATTTGGCTCTGAAAAAATCGTGCGTTGGTATGCTATATTTTTTAGATTCAAAAAAATATACAGGGTGTTCCATTTAACTTTTTTACTTGAATCATTATAAAAAGCCTTTGTATAAAACAATTTTTTGTATTTAAATCATAGGGTCATTCCGAAATTGAAAACTTTTGTATTTTCTCCCGTATACCCCCCCCCCCCCCCCCCCAATAAGGAGGAGCTTAAGACAGTGAAATTTGATGGCCGTCTGGCACACCTTCTACCTACTGCAAAAAAATCCCAGAACTCTAGGACAATTCCCCTAAAAGTAGTTCCAAAGCACTAGAAGAGGGTCGGTGGGCCGGATGGACGGACAATCCACAAAAAGCACTTGTTGTTAATTCTTAAGAAATGCGCTAAAAAGTATAGGTTCTGGTACATCAATGCACAAAGGAAAACGAATTCGAAAAGTTAACGTTAAAATATACAGGGTGTTACATTAAAAAAAAATCAAATCTCGGAAACGGTAGCCCAAAAAATGTGTTGACTACGCCACTGGATTCTACGTAAAAATATATCATGTAGTTATTCTCCTCTTTAGCGCATACGATTTTCAATTGAAAATAAATCACGATCGATCAATTTATGATGCAAACGTTATAGGTTGCAATTTAAACAATATAAACAATTCCATGTAAGTTTCGTAACCGCAAAATCTATCTTACTCACCTTGCCTGCTTCACGCGTGTGTCATTTACCCACGTAACCGCAACATCGCATCGCGCACCTGGTTTCGTTCAAATTTAAATTTAAAAAAAATATACCTCATTCACTGTAAGTTTAGTATTGCACATTTTTATATACATGGTAATTCAAAAATATACAGCGTCAAGTTCAACTGAAACTGGAATTAATTAAACGTGGAGGTAGACTTGAAAATTAGCGCTTGGGACTACTATTGAAACTCAAAGTAAAAATTAAAACCCTGTAAAGAAATCACATGTACCTTTCCGCCGAACACAAAAAGCTTCATTCCTCCAATTAATAAGACAACAATATTATTTATTACGACCCCGATTGACTTGGTTCAAATTCCAAAGCGAAAAGAATTCCTGAAAAAGAATCACCGTTGATTTAGTAATGGCGGGTACTTACGTACTTAATAAATCCAATTAAGCCTCCAAAATGAGAGAAAAGTGGATAATGTGGATGTGCTTGAGAAAATAAAACTGTTTGGGGGAATTATTGGGAAAAAAAGACATAGAAATAAAAATATACAGGGTGTTCTATCAAAATCAATTTGAGTTGAAATTTCAGAAACATCAATTAATAATGCGGAATGCTGCAACGTGGCGTTAACCAGTGCTTATGGTTCCTAGTGCCGATCGTCTCTCTCTACGTCTACCCAATTTTGGGCGGTTTCAACTGCCTGAGCAATCCGTGCGTGCACGGCGTGTGCATCGATGATCTGAACACGAGCTACTCCTGCTACTGCATCGACGGCTACACGGGCGTACAGTGCCAGACCAACTGGGACGAGTGCTGGTCGAACCCGTGCCAGAACGGTGGCGTCTGCCGCGACGGCATAGCCACCTTTAACTGCACGTGTCCGGCCGGGTTTCTCGGTGAGTTGGTTAGTTGAGCGGGCGGTTTTGACGCGAGCTTTCAGGGGAGTTTTGCGAGGAGGACTACAACGAGTGCGCCAGTAATCCCTGCTTGAATAATGGCACTTGTATGGATGTCACTAATGGGTACAAGTGCGTGTGTCCACTGGGTTACTTGGGGGATAACTGCGAGATAGACGTTGCCGTTTGCAATGCCACAAATGAGACTCGCTGTGAGAATGGGGGGATTTGTGTTGAGGGTCCGGGGCTTACTTACTCATGCGCCTGTCCGCCAGGTACTGATCATCCCGTAAACTGGTAACTCACTGGTATTTTCCACAGGCTGGGAGGGTAAGCTGTGCGAAACTGAAATTGACGAATGCATGTCGGCGCCCTGTCAAAATGGCGCGGTTTGCATCGACAAAATGGCGGACTACGCTTGCGCATGCTTGTTCGGTATGTGGCAACTTGTACATTTTGATTCTGACATTGGTTCCAGGATTCACAGGGAAAAATTGCCAGGAACAGATTACGCACTGCGAGCAGAATCCGTGCCAGAATGGCGCTTTGTGCCTAAGCGAGAACGGTCAAGATACTTGCTACTGTGTCCCGGATTTCCATGGAGATCGTTGCCAATATCAGTATGATGAATGCGAGCTGGGGTCCAGGTAATGGCTATCAAAACTTGTTCCTCCTAGTACTGGTGTCTGTACAGGTGCAAAAATGGAGGAACGTGCATAGATGGAGTCGACAGTTTCACATGTTCCTGCCCTCCGAATTTGACAGGTTTCTATTGCGAGTGCCTTGTAATTGACGGCAACCAATTGGATTGCAACTACATTGCGACGACAAATACGCAAACTACAAGTGCAACTGAAACAACGAAGACAATAACAGAATCTTTTCAAACAACTCCTGTGCCAAATATTTCTATTGCGTCTACGTCTTCAACTCCATTCGTCGAGATCACCACCAGCCCAAAAACGGAGACGACCCCCTTAATCGTCGAAGAAACAACTGACTTTCCCACAATGGAATCGAGCGAAACCACGACATTCCACACGGAAACGCCAAAAGTGAGAACGGTCACTGCCAGCTCCGTCCAATCATCGACGGGTTCGTCCACTGAAACGCCAACTTACATCACACCCACACATCCGCCCACCTTCCTCACAGAGGACCCCACCACGTTCCTCCCAACCGATCTAACGACATCGGACACAACCAAGATCAACGCGACCACCACGCAATGCGGCCACAACCAAACCGAATGCCAAAACGGCGGCAGCTGCATTTACACCCCCGAAGGCTACACGTGCATCTGCCCCTACGACGCCGAAGGCCCATTTTGCGAACACCGCCTAGGAATTAAAAACGCCGCGTTCGGCGGAAACTCGTACCTCACCCATCGCCTGGTCAACGTCTCCGGAACCGACGTCGAATTCACAACGAAAACCTTCTCCCCGAGCGGTCTCATTTTCTACGCGAGCATCGACGCCACCTACATGGGTCTGTTCCTCGAACGCGGCCACCTGAAGTTCATCTTCTCCTGCGGCTACCAGACGATGCTGCTAAGCGAACTCGGACATCCCGTCAATGACGGATTTGAAATGACGATCCGCGCCAGGTTGGAGTTCGACGCGAATTTGAGCGGATGCAACGCGAGCGTTATGCTTAATAAAACGCTCACGATGAGCGGAAATCAAGTAGCGATCGTGAATAAGCTGGTGAGGCCGACTTCGATCCTGCACTTGGGAGGTCTGCCTCAGGAGAAGTTTAAGGAGCATCTACCGGCGAGCGGATTTATGGGGTGCGTGACCGATTTGAAGGTAAAGGAAATCGCGCCCCCTACATTTTTGTGTTAACACTTAAATGCGTAGGTTTTTGGTAGGGACGTGCAGATTTTTAAAGATGCAGAGGATGGTTATAAGGTCTCGGAGTGCGAGTCGCTCGCTTGCCTGTCAAATCCGTGCAGTAATGGTGGATCGTGCGTTGAAGACGGAGACAGATGGTATTGCCGGTGCAAAAATGGGTAAGAGTCATTCACCAGTTGCAAATGGTACGGTCCTCCCTTGAAAAAGACTCCCTCCGAGAAAAATTGAAAACTGGATCGCATTTGAACCCTTTCGCGACTTGCTCTCGTCAAAAAATGACTATTGCATAAATGGTAGTACTCGGCACCGATTGGCCGCGCAACCGCGGACTAGCATTAGGGTCGAAATGTCCTGTGGTCTGTCAGCCGCAGTAAACCGGCTTTGTAGCTCAGTGGTAGAGCGTTGGGCTACAAAACCGGAGGTCGGGTTGAGGAGAATTTTAAATATTGGAGTAGTATAGAACAAGAGGACAATAAATTAAATAATATAAACATTCCAAAACCCACCTAGGCCAGTAGAACTTTCTTTGACACGTTTCAATTCATCTTCACGAAGTGATAAAATTAAAATATGGGTCAATTATAAGAGGAGGAAATAATTAATCACTTAAGTTAATAGAATTTACTAGCAGCTTACGCAATTAGCAGACTTAATTCCAATTATAAATAATTGACGGCTACATTTTAATTAATCATTTCGACAACGTTAAATGTAATTAAGTTGCTTGTTTAAGTTGGTCTTTTGTCACCGGGTATGCTTGACTGCCTACTGAACGCTTTCTTTAAAAGTTAAATATCAATTTCGTTCATTTATTACTTTCTGAAACTATCGAGCTCAAGCAAATTACGAAAATTTATAGCATCCGTTTATGAGATTCCTCCTAAAGGCTTCCAAATTTGTTTTGCGCCCTGTAGTCGACTGTAGCAGACTATTACAATTTAACTGCCGTTTTTTAAATATTAGTCTATACCTAGTACTGCTCACCCGCACGTGGTGTCCTAGAGCACATCCGCGACCATCGGTGCTTTAGCGCCTGTGCTCTCTCAGAGCGGTGCCGCGGCACCTTCGGCACCTACCTAGTTACGCCACTGCTGTTTACAATAACGGACGATCAAAAATGAGTGGAGGTCGAGTCGCCTTTGAAATTACGATTTCCCTTGTAAACAAAAATTTCAAGGTGACTCGATAGCAACTCATTTTTGATCGCATGGTATAACACATGCCTATGTAAATATACCTAATAGGTAGGCAGTAGGTACATAGTACCGTGTGTCCTATTTTGATTGAGACTGCAGTGTATCTCAGTTGTTTTTAATGATAGAGACTAGCGGTTTTCGCGACCTGTGTTTTTTTTTGCGAAACGTTTGATACAATAAATAGCATCAAGCTAGCTACGTTTGTTTCTAAGATACAGGGTGAAGGCGAAAAGTTTGACTGTTTGGGATGCTATCAAAAAAGTACAAAGTGTTAGTTTTATATTTTTACGAAGAATCCAGTGGTGTAGTTCAAACAATTTTTGGCCCACCGTTTCTGCGGTTAGACCCAATTTTTCTATTTTTCAAATTTTCCCTATATATTTTAAAGTTTTGAAATGGCATGTTTCTATCTCCCGCCCCTTTTATTGATTGGTATCGGCTGCCATGGATACAATAAACAAAACAAAATCATAAATCCATGGCCTACTATTTAAAAACCGTAAAATATAGGGTTTTTATTTTTAGTTCATGGTCGGCAAAAATTATGCAGAACGATTTCTACTTTCGGTCCAATCTCAGAAATGGTGGACAAATTTTTTTTTACTACACCACTGGATTTTACGTAAAAATATTTTTAAAAAACAGTTTAACCCGAGGTTTAACCTGTTTCTATCTTACATGGGTCGTAAAATATGATCACCCTGTATCTTAGAAGCAAACGTATAACTAGAATGATTCTGTGTTTTACAAAAAGGTGGCGCTGGCTCCCCCCTCCTTTTCCCCAAAGTTAAGGTGTAATGGCGCCCCCGAAGACAAAACGGATCCAAAGCAATCGACACAATGGCGTTGCTTGTTGTTTAATAATCTGCTAGTATTTCATTCCCCTACCCCCGCCCCCAGACGATTCTAAGCAACCTCGCGACTAGCCCGAGGCTGCCCAAATCGCCGCAATAGGGCACATTTTATCGCCATATCCATTCGCGTTCACCTTTCGTATGAAGCGGTACATATGTAAATTTTCCTATACTTAAATGAACGATTTAAATTTGCAAAACGAGCGCGAAACAGACAGACAGACGAACCACAGCTAAAAATATAATTTGCAATTTTCAGATAATTAAAATATGGGTCAATTATAAGAGGAGGAATTAATTAATCAGTAATCACCTCAGCTAAGTTAATAGAATGTACTAGCAGCTTACGTAATTAGCAAACTTAATTCCAATTACAAATAATTGACGGCCGAACGTATAGTTTTACAAAGGCTAAATTTTAACTAATCATTTCGACAACGTTAAATGTAATTAAGTCGGTCTCCGGACCACGCCCCCACTTCGGCATTTGCGCCCCCATTAAATAGTCCAATAAGTTTTGTGACATAAACAAAAGCGATATTAAATTACGTATTCAATTCAATTATTCAATATAAATAAAACGATATTACCTTATTTGGCTTTTTTACTAACAAAGTTCCACCTTTGCCAACGGGTATGCTTGACTACCTACTGAACGCTTTCTTTATCAGTTAAATATCCATTTCGTTCATTTATTACTTTCTGAAACTATAATATTGCAGTGTATCACAGTTGTTTTTTCAGTTACCTGGGAAACTTTTGCGAAAGCTCCATTTGTGACAACAACCCGTGCCTGTACGGCGCCACGTGCTTACAGTTCACCGGAAATGGCTACATTTGCCTATGCCCATTCGGCAGACACGGTCACTTTTGCGAAAATGGTAACCGCGAAACTCCGAGCTTTTCACACTAACCGAAATCCTTCCAGAACTAGACGCCAGCGAGCCGTACTTCTCCGGAAGCGTACGCGGTCTGTCCTCGTACGCGTCCTATCAGCTCCCAATCGGCGGAATTTCGAACAACATGGAGGTCAAATTCAAATTTCGACCGGCGACCATGGACCAAATCGCGATCCTACTCTTTATCGGACAACTTGGACAGCACGACGTGACCTCGGATCACGTGGCGGTCAGCTTCGTCAAGGGTTTCATTATGCTCACCTGGAACTTGGGTTCAGGTCAGTTAATCTCATTCGCAACCTTACGCAAAGGATTCTTCTAGGTCCAAGGCGGATATTTACGGCGAAACCGTTGCTCAGCGGAAAACCGAGCTACGTTCTGCAGTTCGGACGCGTCGGGCGTAAGGCTTGGCTGTCCGTCGACAATTTGGGAAACATCACGGGACGGTCGCCGGGGAACTTGATTAATTTGGACGTCGAGCCCGTGCTGTACCTCGGCGGTCACAACTCGCCCAATTTCTCCACTCTCCCGCACGATCTGCCGTTGCACAGCGGCTTTTCGGGGTGCGTCTACGACGTGGAGTGGAAGTCGGGCAACTTGATTATTCCGTTGCAAAGCTCACGGCAGGTGACCGGACGCGCCGTAGGACAATGTGGCACTAACGAATGCCACGAACGGCTCTGTCAAAATAACGGAGCGTGTCTGCATCACGGGAGCACTTTCACGTAGGTATCCAACCCGTGGAGTTCCCCAAAAATTGTTTTTCTCTCCAGCTGTTTGTGCCAGGACGGATGGTTCGGGCCGCTGTGCTCCTCGAGGTTTAACCCGTGCGACTACCAAAGGCACAACTGCTCCGGGGGATCCACGTGCGTCCCGCTCCTGACCGGTTACGAGTGCGACTGTCCCGTTGGCAAGTCCGGGACGCAGTGCGAGGTGGACGAGACGTTGTCCGACGTTAGCCTCTCGGGAAAGCGCTCCTACATTATGTTGCGACAGCCTCCCTTTGAGACTTCCAAGTTTAGTTTCGAGTTGGAACTGCGGCCGTTGAGCGGACGGGGGTTGATTCTGTTCATCGGCTATGGAGAAAGTAGTTTTCTGTCGCTTAACATGCAAAGCAACATGCTGGAGTTGCGAGTCTTAGCTTCAGGTTTGTAGCGAGCTGTGCGATCGGGCCTAAGTCGAGTTTCTAGTTAAACGCCAATTTGGGGGTGGCAAAACTGTTAGTGTGCGAAGCAACAAGCTGTTGGCGATGGGAGACTGGTACAAAATCAAGGTGGGGAAGTACGGGAATAAGTTGTACCTCCACGTGGGTGGCAGCGTTACCAGTGGCTTTCTGAGTAGTGTGGAGGTTTTGAGTATTTCCGATGGCGACATATACTTAGGTAAGGCCCTTCTTGGAGAACAACCCTTAGATTATGATGTAGGTGGAATTGCCGATATGTCGGATTTACCGTTTGCGGCAACCTCCAGTCTTCCCGTGCCGTTCACGGGTTGCATCCGGCAATTCATGATTAATTCGCACCACATACCGCTCACGTCAGCCTTCATCAGAGATGGTCGGAATGTGGCCGACTGCGATGGTACCCCGTGCGGGAGTGACGCCTGCGACAACGGGGGCACGTGCTGGATGGACTCCAACTTGAACCCGCACTGCGCATGCCCCGATCCTTACATCGGTGAGAAATGCCAACTAACGCCCTCTTGCGAGGAGAGATCGTGCGGAAATAGAGGACGATGCGTAGGTACAAAGTGCTTTTGTCTCATGGGATACACGGGGGCCTTCTGCGAAACCGGCATCACGGTGCACACGCCAGACTTTTCCGGCAACACTCACCTGGTGCTGCGACGAGTCGTAACCGACAAGAAGCGAGACTTGAACAAGTCGAAAACGTCGTACTTAAATTTGAATTTTTCCACTGCCGAACAGGATGGCATTTTATTGTGGAGTGCAAAGGTATGTATAGCTTTTGTAAAATTGTTCAAATTGTCGCTTCCAAAATTCACCTTCAAAGTATGCGTCATCTACGGGTATGCATTTTGTGAAAAATTTACGAGAAAACAATTAACAAAGAAAGTAGATGGCCAATGTATATTCTGGGCCAGGAAGTGACGTCCCACCAATCAGAAACGACGTCGTGACGTCACAGCCAATCAAAGCTTTGATTGGCTGTGAGATTACGACCTCGTTTCTGATTGGTGTGACGTCACTTCCTAGTTCAGAACATACATTGATGATCTAATGAAGAAACGTCAATTTTGAAACTGTTGGAGTCACAGTTCGTAAACTTTGAACGTTGTGGTTTTTTTGTTTTGGCCAACCCTCAGTGGCGGATTTAGCTCGGTTGTTCTCTAAAGAACAATTTCATAGTGAGATCTACCAGACACGGAGGTGTACCGCCTTGGTGGACATACATACAAAAATACAGATCCTTTATAAGGACTCTTGTTTCCTGTTCCCTTGCTTACTCAAATCTGGATAGGTCCTGCATAATCCAGTCCCCGTGATTTCAAAAAAAGGTCTGCCATATCTACCCTTGCTGGTGGAAGATTTCCCATTAACTGTCAGATCAATTTTTTTGCTCCCAGTCCAGTATTTTCGTCGCAACAATGCCAATGTGATTTGGTTCCCGCCATGGGTATCCTTTGCGATTAGTGTGACCAAATGACTTTTTGGAGGAATTATGAAGGGGTGTTTCTCTTGTGTCGTTTTGCAGACCATATTCGTTAATCTACCCTCTACTCTTAATAGTCCCATTGCATCCAGGAAGAAAGTGTGTTGTAGTGTACTTAACCCCCAGGTTCTACGCTAACTTCACACTACAAGAACTCGGAAATAAAGTCAACCCGACAACGTTTAAAAATGGCCACCCGAACTAAACAAGATCCCGCTTAAATTTGAAAAGTGGCACGTGATCAAACATCTAAGGCAGGGCCCCCTTACGTTAGTTGTAGCAAAGATGATCTTTGGTTGTAGACAACACTTTGGCCTGAAGCACAGTAGGAAAAGAACGTACAATAAAACACTCAAATTGTGAAAAGTTTGGGTGAAATACACAGGATGTGACTCATGTTTGGTGCAATAAAGTCCTTTTGTTAAAAGCAAGATGGAAAATTACATGGCCTTCGAGATGGCCAAAAAAAACAAGATATGTGGAAATTATTGAATCGCCACTCATTTATCGCACATAGATTCTAAACTGAAGAGCTTTGATTAGCGTAATCCCGCTCCTGCAAGATGGGTAGCCCGCCCCTGGTTTCGGGGTTTCGAGCCTACAGTTGGATGTCGAAGACAATCACGGAATTAGGTGTTTTCACTCAATTTTAACTGCAGTTTTTACCACCCCCTTGACTGCTAACGGAGAAAATGTTAGTTACAAACAACAGGTCAGTACATACATCAAACGAATCGGTCATTTCCACATATTAAAATAAAATGATCGAAACTTATATGAATGTTACTTCAGGGACAAGATCAAGTAATCAACATCAATAAACATAAATTAAGGAAGCATTACACCAAAAACGTAAACAATTACAAACAATAGCATAACGGTATCACACATGTGTTCTGCATTGCGGTTAAAGCAAGTAAATTTCAAAAACAAAGATTCAAACACACAAAAAATATGAAATGCGGCATACAAAACACAAATACGATATAAAGAAATGCAAAAATTACTACCTGCATTAAATAACACAAAATAACAACAAACATTTATGGAGCGACGCGTTCACTACCGCCATTCAAGACAAGATGCCCAACGTAATCCCTGTTCGTGCTTTCTAGGTGGCGCATGCAGCTTTTCCCCACCTAGAAATTGCATGGTTGTCAACTCTCAAAAATGTACGTATCGCCGTAAGTTGTATATACAGGGTGGAACCTTTTAAGCCTTCTCTCTGTACCCCGCATCTCCTCAGCTTCACCTTTAATTGGCAGGCTTGCGGTATAGAGGTTAGCTCTATTTCTGGTCTCTTGATATCTTCTCTATTTTTCCTGCAACAGTACTTGCCCCCTTGGTTTTGGACTTCCGTTTCGAAAAACTTCGTCAGCGCGCCCTCATCCGTGACGAAAACCAAACATTGTCTAATCGAAGAAGTACGAATCGTTTTGGATTCCACGCACCCAAATTAATAAGAAAAAGTTTTTTCCCGAGAAATTTTGGTGCAGTCGATGTTGGCAAAAAAGGAAGGTAATACACTGCCTTTTTTTTGGCCAGAAAAAAAAATTGTCTCAGATCGACCGGAAAAAAATATTTTCTTATAGAATGTGGCCTGTAGAATCCATAATTTCAAACAGTTCCAAGATCGGACTACTAGATCAAAAGTTACAGCCCTTTGAATTTTTTGTCGAAATTGGTTTTTTGCCCATAACTTTTGATTGAGACGTCCAATCGAAAAAGTACGAATTGTTTTGGATTCTACGCACCCAAATTAATAAGAAAAAGTTTTTTCCCGAGAAATTTTGGTGCAGTCGATTTTTGGTAAAAAAGGAAGGTAATAACTGCCTTTTTTTTGCTCAGAAAAAAAAATTGTCTCAGATCGACCGGAAAAAAATATTTTCTTATAGAATGTGGCCTGTAGAATCCATAATTTCAAACAGTTCCAAGATCGGACTTTGTTTGGGAAGACACTTACTTATTTCTATGAGAAAAATTCGAATTTTTCTACGTTGAAGAAGCGGTAAGATCGCCATCTCCTTTCTATAAATAGTGAATAAGTAAAATATTATCATACAACTTTCTCGCATAATCACCTGCACACCAAAAAAATCCTGACTCATACACAGGTACCGATAATATACATTACATGTCGCATTGCGAACTCGGTCATGCTGTAAGGTGTGTTGCCTAACTATAGGGGTATGTCATCACAAATCGAAGTATTTCTTTTTCTTGATGTCGTTTGTGAATAAATCCACTTTTTTTACATTCTACGATCTCTATTCGCAGGACGGCAACTTCCTAGGCGTCGGAATAGAAAACGGTAACATAAAGCTCGTATATTCCAACACCTACAACGAGACCATCATCGAAATGCCACGACGAGCGCACTTGGCGGACGGCTCCTGGCACAGCCTCGAATTAAACTTGGAGCCGCAAGTCGAAATGCGAATCGACAGAAAACCGCTGCACCTGCAACACCAAACGGAAGTGGCGTCCAACCGATTTCCATCCAACGCGATTTTTTACCTCGGAGGTTTGCCGCGCGACAAAAACCTAACCAGCGCCACCTACGGTTTGTTTAAGCAACCGTTCGTGGGGTGCATCGGTGCAATACAATTCAACAAAGAGAAGTTAATACAAGATTTTTCAGTTTACGAAGGCGAAAATGTTGGTGTTTGTAATAATTTATAATTGTGTTCATTTTTAAAGTTAAGGGATACTGTTGTTACGAAGACACTTTTTTTACAATAACAATTGCAAATTCCGACCAGTTAAAAACATTAAGAATAGAAATGTGTTTCAGGATCACACTGACCACAATTTAAACAATAGGTATATTTTAGTTTTGTTGGTAGAGTAATTGCACTAATCACGTAAGTGTACAATATTGATTACTTTTAGCCAATAAACAAAATGGCGGTCTCATCCCACCAATAGTAGTTACAATGTGCTGCCACCAGAGGTCTCATTCCTGAAACACAGCAATAATCACCATTTGTTTGTTTCCTACCTTTGTTGAAATTGTGTGCAATATTATTGTTGAATTATTTGATTTCCTAAACGAAACAGTTGGTACAGAATACAAAAAAAAACAAATATACTAGTACATAAAATATAATTGTTTTATTTATAATATATGTATTTATACCTATAATATATTAATATATCTCAGTGACGAGAGTGCGAGGCGCACGTATACAAATCCCATTATAGCCAATTGAATATAATTAAGATTGCATATAATAAACATTGGATTTTTTTTTGTATAATATATAAATGATCTGCTGCTTTCCAACCTATACACAATTGCGTCTCATAATAATACATATTAATTAAATTCATTATTATATTCTCTATCTATAGGTACAACATTTTCCAGCCACATATAAAATTCAATCAATCATTAGAATAATTTAATAATACCTTCAACCGTAAAAATTATGATATAATATATATAATGTACATATGACTGGAATAACAACACACATAGCGAACCATGAATATACTTACCACGACAAGACTGTCGCGACTACATCACTTGCATTAGCACCACGCCGAGTACGGAAACACGTATAAAAATACCAAAACATTCGCTTTGGTCCTCTAATATATATATATATATGTATATATATTTAACGATAAAATATAAGCCCTGTTTAATAATACTTAAGATCTGTGCTTGCTTAACGGTGGGGGGCCGGAAAGCAGGCTATATAATAGAATTAAAAAAATTAGTTCATAATAAAAAAAAATATAGGGTAATTAGCGTAAGCGATCATACTAAATTGCACCTAAAAGTCATCAATCGAATTTAACGAGCGAAGCTAACCCCACCGCTATAAAAATTCCGACCACTATCAGCAGTAGGGTGCCTACCAGCACCATCTGCTGGTCGGACATCGATTTCGATTGCATTATGTGGGGCCAGATCAACTTTAGATAGCTACGATTGCGATGGACGTGCGTCGGGGAGCTCGTTATCGGCTGAGAGAGCTTCGGAATGATGAGAGTTTCGGCGGGCGTCGTCGTGAACGTCAGCAGGGGCGAGTGCGGGCCGGGGAGTTCGCCCGACGAGGATAGCCGTATCGGGCAGACGCGAGCGTTGTAATCCGCGCCCGGTTCCAGGTTGTCTAGCGTGCATCTCGTATCGGGTCCCTTGTAAACCTGCGGGAATAAAAAGTGAACTTTGAGGTTAGTTCTTCGACACTCCGGCTATGATTCGAACGCGATGGACCCAGTGCTGCACCTATAGCTAGGTTTTGGTGAACTTTTGAAATTGAATTGAATTTTTTTTTGGAAAAACACGGAAATATATAAATTAAAAAAATAAATTGGCATTTTAATGATTTGAATTAGTAGGCTGAGCCGCTGTTTAACGGCAAGGGTAGGTAAAGTGAAACAGATGACTGTGCATTTCAAATGGGACGCGGAGCACGATAGAAAATGACGTTCAGAACATATCACAATAGTGAAAGCTTGTTATTTTTGACGTCTAAATGAATCCAGAACTGTCACAAGCTTTACAATGATTTATATGGCTTCTGCTATAAAATAAAGTCTAATAAAGGGGAACTAAGGGGAAATTCATTCATTTAATGATTAAAATATCCCTTTATCGTTTTATACAATAAATAACTATTAACAGGATGCGGGTTTGGAACTTTGCAAGATAGGGGATCAATTTTCTTGTTCAAATCTTTTTGAAGGTGAAATTTCTGGGCCAGTTTTTTAAGGACGAATCTTCTGGATGCAACTGTTTCAGAATTAAATATTCCAGGGAAATGATCAAAAATACAGAGTGAATCCATGCAGTGGCGCGGAAGGGGGGTGCGAAGGGGGCCAACTGCCCCGGGTGCCAGCCCTGTAGGGGTGACAAAAACGTATCTAAAATTTGAAAAGGCTTATGATTAATTATGGTAAGGGTGACAAGTTGAAATTCCGCCCTGGGTGTCAGAAGACTTTGCTACGCCACTGAATCCATGGTTGCTTGGAGTGCTATTATGGCGCCCTAAAGAAGGATTTGTAGAAAATGTGCTTTTGCAATGTTAATAATATAATAATTATTGTTTATGTGTATTTTTGTTAAAAATTTTGCTTAATTTTGTTGTTTCATTTATTATTTATAATTATGAATATCCAGATATTTCGAAAACCATTTGAAATAGTTATGACACAAAATATAACTTTAAGCCTAAAGTACGAATCGTTTTGGATTCTATGCACACAAATTAATCAGAAAAAGTTTTTTCCCGAGAAATTTTGGTGCAGTCGATTTTTGGTAAAAAAGGAAGGTTACACTGCCTTTTTTTGAGCCCCGAAGAAAAAATTCTCAGATCTACCGGAAAAAAATATTTTCTTATAGAATGTGGCCTGTAGAATCCATAATTTCAAACAGTTCCAAGATCGGACTACTAGATCAAAAGTTACAGCCCTTTGAAGTTTTGTCGAAATTGGTTTTTTTCGCCAAGACTTTTGATTGAGACGTTAATTCGAAAAGTACGAATTCGTTTTGGTATTCTACGCACCCCAAATTAATAAGAAAAAGTTTTTTCCCGAGAAATTTTGGTGCAGTCGATTTTTGGGAAAAAAGGAAGGTTATAACTGCCTTTTTTTTTGCCCCAAAAAAAAATTGTCTCAAATCGATCGGAAAAAAATATTTTCTTATAGAATGTGGCCTGTAGAATCCATAATTTCAAACAGTTCCAAGATCGGACTACTAGATCAAAAGTTACAGCCCTTTGAAGCTTCTATGGTAGTGGTAGGAAAAAGGAAAAGAAAAAATCTTTCCTTCCTGGGAAGTATATTACAGAAACAGAAAGATTTAATGACTCCTTCACTGCGACTAGAATATCTTTTTTGTTGGGGGGGTATGGATACCCCGCCAAACCCCTCCGGTGTTAACGTCTTTCCCAAAAACGTTTAGAAAAGTTAGTACTAAAACGATAATTTTTGGGAAACTACCATTTGACTGCTTAAAGCTCTACAATGTGTATATATTCGGGGGGGTTTGGGGGGTATGGAATACCCCCAAGCAAAAAAAAAAGATTCTATGATAGTGGTAGGAAAGGACATTGAATCTTTCCTTCCTGGGAAGTATATTACAGAAACAGAAAGATTCAATGTCCCTTTCTCTACAACTAAAATACGATCTTTTGTGCTGGGGGGGGGGGGGGGGGGGAGTTCCATACCCTCCAGTGTTAACGTCTTTCCTAAAAACGTTTAGAAAATTTAGTACGAAAACGATAATTTTTGGGAAAAGACCATTTGACTGCTTAAAGCTCTACAATGTCTATATATTCCGGGGGGTTTGGGGGGTACGGAATACCCCCCAAGCAAAAAAAAAAGATTCTATGATAGTGGTAGGAAAAAGGACATTGAATCTTTCCTTCCTGGGAACTGGGAAGTATATTACAGAAACAGAAAGATTCCATGTCCCTTTCCCTACGACTAGAATACGATATTTTGTGCTGGGGGTATTCCATATCCCCCAGACCCCCCGGTGTTAACGTCTTTCCCAAAAAGTTTAGAAAAGTTAGTACTAAAACGATAATTTTTGGGAAAAACCCATTTGACTGCCTAAAGCTCTACCATGTGTACATATTCAGGGGGGTTCGGGAGTAATGGAATACCTCCCCAAGCAAAAAAGAAGATCCTATGATAGTGGTAGGAAAAAGAACATTGAATCTTTCCTTCCTGGGAAGTATGTTGCAGAAACAGGAAGATTCAATAGCCCTTTCACTACAACTAGAATATCTTTTTTGCTGGGGGGTATTCCGTATCCCCTAGATCTCCCCCCTCTCGTGTTTAGTCTTTCCAAAAAATAACACGATAACTTTCATGGAAAATTAGAAGTTGCGATCAAATACAGGGAGTTCATAAAAAAAATTGTTTGCTTTCTACTTTGTGATTGCACCCACCCTGTATAATTTAAACCATGCAGAATATTCTAACTTATTATCATACAAAAGCACAATCTGAACAAAAATTCTTCCTTAGGGGACATAATCAGAGTCCATGCAATCGTTGACTCACCCTGTAGATATCTGAATTTTTGTCTAGGCGATTTCCCTTAAAGACAGTTCTAAAATCAATTCTGGGTTCAAATCTACAATAGATAATATTCATTGTCAGGGTTGCCATGTGGGTGGGAAAATGGCTCGGGGAGGATACCAAGGTGCCAGATCATTTTGAAGCCAAGACAGATTTGGAAAAAGGCCTTTGAAGCCATTTAAAAAAACATGATGATAGTTGTGGAACACGATATGTTTGTAATCTCAAGTCCAGAGGGGTTTTTTAGTAGCACACTTTGATCTCGAGATCTGCGCGGGCGCCAAGTTCAAGGTCATTCGATTCAGTTCGGTTTGTGCATAGCTTGGCGCATATCTCAAGGTCAAAGTTACAGCCCTTTGAATCTTTTGTTGCCCATAACTTTTGATTGAGACGTCTAATCGAAAAAGTACGAATCGTTTTGGATTCTACGCACCCAATTTAGTAAAAGAAAAAGTTTTTTCCCGAGAAATTTTGGTGCAGTCGATTTTTGGTAAAAAAGGAAGGTAATACACTGCCTTTTTTTTGCCTTTCTTTCCTGGGAAGTATTTTGCGAAGACAGGAAGATGATTCAATGCCTCTTTCCCTACAACTGTCATAATATATTGGTGAACTTTCATGGAAGATTAGAAGTATGGGATAAAATACAGGGAGTTCATTAAAAATTTTTTGGCCTTCTACTTCGTGATCCTTGTATAATTCAAAACATGCAGAACATTCCAAATTATTATAACACAAAAGCACAACGTGAACAAAAATTCTTCCTTGGTGGACATAATCAGAGTCCATGCAATCGTTGACTCACCCTGTAGATAATTGAATTTCGTTAAAGAAAGTTCTAAAACCAATCTGGGTTCAAATCTACAATAGATAATATTCACTGTCCGGGTTGCCATGTGTGTGTGGGGGGGGGGTAATGACCCGGGGGAGGATACCAGGGTGCCAGATCATTTTGAAGCCCAGACAGATTTGCAAAAGGCCTTTGAAGCCATTTAAAAAAAATGACAAAAGTTGTTGAACATCACTGTAGAGGGTTTTTTTTAGTAGTACACTTTGACCTCGAGATCTGCGCGGGCGCCAAGTTAAAGGTCATTCGAATCAGTTCTGTTTGTGCATATATATAACCTTGAGCTTGGCGCATGCGCACCGGTGGTGTTTATCTACTGTTTTTCTTGAGGGAGAGTTTTCACCGGAAATGCGCATTTTGAAGGTAGTGGGTAAGTCGGGCATAGCTAATGTTAATGTGAGTATTATTACCTGTTTAAAATCTTGATCCTTGAGTCGACAAACTTGAACCAAATATATGATCGGATCGGCGGTGGCGTTCTTCGACGACGTCCACTCCAACGCGCAACTTCTCTGCTCGATCTCGACGGCCTTCGGCGGTTTGACGCCCGCCGGCGGCGCTATGGACGTAGCGAACTGGTACTCCTCCGAGTAGTCGCCGTCGCCCGTGTCGTTGGAAGCGCAAATTCGAAACCTGTACGACGTCAGCTCGTGCAGTTTATTGACTTTGTACGTGAACGCCGTTCCCTGGTAGACGCACTGGAACTCCCTGCTGCGCGGGTTCTCAATTTCGAGGCAGTACTGCGTGAAGTCGTAGTTGCGGCCCTCGCCCCATTTCAGCTTGAGGTAGTTGTGACCGACTGCTATGCATTCGAGACGAGGGGCGACCGGTGGTAGGGGGAGAGTTGCGATTTTAAGTATCGACGAGAATGGGCCCGCGCCCACGTTGTTCACGGCTTGGATTTTGATTTTGTAGACGGTTAGTGGAGTAAGCGACTCGATTGTGTGGCTAGTGTCGGGTCCGGCAGTGCTCGTGGCTTGATCGCCGACTTCGATGTTGTAGTGAGATATGCTGGCGCCGTTGCAAGGCGGTTCCGTCCAGCTCAGTGTTATGCTGGTGGGCGTTTTGTCATGTTGAATGCAAGAGATTGCGGCTGGGGGAGCGGCCGGTGTCACCGTAGCCGAGGGGGGCGAGAACGGGCTGTAGCCCGCGTTGTTGCCGGCTTGCACCTTAAAGTAGTAGGGCGTGAACGGAGATAGTCCTCGTACGTCGTAGTTCGTCCCGGATCCCTGGAAGATCGAGAGAAACTGCTCTTCGACCGACTCATTCGGGCTCATCACCACCTTGTACTCGGTGATCGGGGCTCCGTTGCTGTTCGGCTCTTGCCATTCCAGGTAGATGTGGAATGGTGACTTCGGGGTGGCGGATGGAGCGGTCGGAGTGTCGGGAGGTGCGGCTCCGCTTTTCACGGAGAGGGTTTCGGACCACACTCCCGGGCCTATTCGATTGACGGCTCGCACCATGAAGAGATACTCGCAACCCGGGCTGACATTCACGACGGTGCATTCGATTTCTTTGCTTTTATGTACAATACTTTGAGTACCGTCGTTACTCACCATCTCCACTTCGTATTCCAACACGGGCGCGCCGCCGTTGTAGTCGGGCTCGTTCCATCGGGTCGTTATACTGTTCGGACGAGGTTTGCCGTGCAGCCGGAGTTCGGTACATTGTCCGGGACTAATCGCATCGGTGGTGACCGTGCAGGGATCAGAGTAGGTGCTGCGGCCTCCCGCGCTTAGGCAACTGACTCGTAATTGATAGGTGGTGCCAGGTGTAAGTTTATCACAGACTGCTTCCGTTTCGGAACCGGTATACACATTCTGATATCCACTACCCGAATTCAGTTCTAGAATATATTTGGTAATTTCCGCTCCCCCCGTATCCGCGGGCGGTTCCCATTTTAACCTAAACATATGCGCGTGTATTCGTCCTTTCACTATCGGCTTCGAAGGCCTCGCCGGCCGGTCGGGGAGCGTTTTGAACGTAACCTCCTCGGACCACGGCGAGCATCCTCCGTTGTTTTGAGCTTTCAATCTAAATTTGTAGTCGGTATATCGCTTCAGGTTCTCGCAAATGTATTCGCTATTTTTCCCGTTATATACAATGAGAAAGCCGTATCGCGTTTTAAGATCGTCAAGTTGTAAAACGAACTCGTCATCCTTAGGTCTTCGGCTCCACACCAGGTGCAACGAGTTTATGGTGGAGTCCCGCAGGCTGGGAGGTGCGGGTTGGAGGGGCGCGACGTCGGAGGTCGAAAACGAGACGACGTCCGAATATATGCTTTTGCCTACTTCGTTAAGAGCTGCTAATCTAAATTTGTAAATTGTCGCCGGCTGCAGTTTAGAGAGGCTGTGCTGCTTTCCTCTGCTCTTGTGGAGTTCCACGAAGTCGCCGCCCTTGCCTTCGTCGTACTCCAAAAGGTAGTACTGAATGTGCGAGCCGTTGTCGTTGACCGCGTTCCATCGGAGCTGCAGGCCGCTTTTCGTTCGCGAGATTAACTTGGGGGCCTGCGGTTGGTCGGGTTCGCAGGGGGGCGTTATGAACTTGATCGGGTCGGACGCCGAGCCTTGCAGTTCTTCGAGGTGCACTTGAAGACAAACCGAATACTCCTGACCGGGCCGTAGATCTTGAATTCGGCAGGAGAGTGAGGCGCCGCTATAAATTGACTTGTATTTCATTTCCTTGCTTTTATCACTAAGCAACACCTCGTAGCGGAGATCCGACTCGGAGATGTCCAACTCGTGGCTGTCGTTACTCGACGCTTCCGACAGCCTTAACGGTGCTGCCCATTGAAGTAAGGCACTGCGCGAGCTCAGTTCAGACACCTTCGGCGACTGGACGGACGACAACATGTCGGTGATAATATGCACATAATCATCTTCATCCTGCACGCTACTGCTCTCCTCCCCATCCTCCGAGGTTCCTACGCTGTTCATACCCTTCTCCTTCAAATTGCTCCTAGGCAATCCGTTGATCACGTCCTTCCTAGGAGATAAAAGCGGCGTAGTTTGTCCGGAATCGTTCCTCATCTGTTTATCGTGTAGTTTTTTCCTTAACTTATAATAACGTTGTTGTGTCCGTTCGTCTTTGTAGTAACCGTGGCTCGGAGGCGGCGAGTGACCGGAGTGTGTAGAGGAGACGTGCGAGGGATGTCCGGGTGGTATGCTGGAGTGAAAGTGAGGCGGCGGAAATCCCGACGATATTCCCGGATAAAACGTTTGGGGTGCTTGATTGCTGCCATTTGGTGGTCCAGCTCCCTGCAAAAAATTCATTAGTGCAGAAAATAATATTATTCAACAATAAAATTGAAATATATACGACATTTTACGTCATCTTTTCACAAATATTGATCTTGTCAATTGTGACACTTTTTCTATGCTAAAGACGAGGGTTCAAACCCCATAGCGCGCGCATTTTTTTCTACAAAGCTGGTTTAATTGGGAGCATTTACGCACGAAAGCACCAAAATCTGTGATGGGAGCGAAGGATCGCGAAGAAATAAGTAGTAACTTCTGTTGCCACTTTCACTATACGTCATCTAGTATAAAAACAGTAGCAGGTAACCGCCCACTGCAAAACTTGTGTCTTTTTCTTCGTATTAAATTTAAGTAGACATCTGTTAACTTGCAATACTTCCAAATATTTAAAATGTGCAGTGTGCCACTAAAAAATACGCAATATTTCAAAAGAGTTTGCAATTTTGCAACAAATCTTTAACATGTTCTCAAATGACATCTCTTTACACATAAGTTTTGAACGGATTTAAAATGTACACAGTGTAATTATGCAACGAACGAAAAATCAAATTTAAGTAGACATCTGTTAACTCACAATACTTCCAAATATTTAAAATGTGCAATGTGCCACTTAAAAATACGCAATATTTCAAAAGAGTTTGCAATTTTGCAACAAATCTTTAACATGTTCTCAAATGACATCTCTTTACACATAAGTTTTGAACGGATTTAAAATGTACACAGTGTAATTATGCAACGAACGAAAAATCAAATTTAAGTAGACATCTGTTAACTCACAATACTTCCAAATATTTAAAATGTGCAATGTGCCACTTAAAAATACGCAATATTTCAAAAGAGTTTGCAATTTTGCAACAAATCTTTAACATGTTCTCAAATGACATCTCTTAACACACAAGTTTTGAACGGATTTAAAATGTGCACAGTGTCCTTATATAACAAACTACTGTACCCGGCACGTAAGAAGGCGAAAGATCACTCATTTCCACTATTCATACTTTAATAATTGCACCTATTAATGTGCCATGCAGACTCTAAATTAGTCATCTGCTCATAGCCCACTGAAACCTTCTTACGTGCCGGCATCAGTATAAAACAAAATATGTTAACTCACATGCTTTCTAATATTTTAAATGTGCACACGGTAATGGCATTATATGAAAATGTTAATGTCATTAGGTATATACGAGGTTCGCAACGTTGGTCTGTATGTCTGTCTGTCTCTTATGCGTGTTCAGACGTATGGAGGTACTACAATAAAATTCAGATATCTTCTCAACATTTGTAGGGGCCCTTCAAATGTTCTTAATGTTTCTGCAAAACTTAGTCCTGGTGTGATTTGGAGATTTCTTCGAATATTCGATAACAACGTTACCGTGGCCGAACCCGTATTCAGACCATAGCCAAGCATCTAACTCATTAGAGTCAAGTGTTTGTCAAACTTTTTTATCCGGCACACTAAAATTATTAAACAAAATTCGCGGCACCCCTAGTATAGTTGACAAATATATATAATAATCAGTATTATGCTGAAATGTGGAAGTGAAAAATAATATATAAATTTTAAAAAAATCTGCATCGACCAGGAATCGAACCCGGGTCACCTGCGTGACAGCTACAAGGATTAAACGAACCACGGTGACGATATATAGTATCTTAATTCGCAATTCCCTTCGGTTTTGCGCACGACTACTAAAATAAAATCAAGATAAGTATCTTCTCAACATTCTCGGAGGCCCTTCAAGTGTTCTTAAAGTTTCCGCAACATTTTTAGAAGTTCTGGTGTGATTTTAGTGGTGATCTGATTAGAAGTTGGTTTTCAACCTGTGGGTCGTGACTCTCTGGGCGGTTGCAGAACGTGTCACAATCTAAAAACCCCTCCCTTTAGCTTGATATTGCAGTGTCTAAAAAGTTGAGAACCACTGGCGTAAGAAAATGAACATTCCAATTTATTCATTACCCCCTCCCCCCCCCCTTCAGTTTTACATTACTCCACACCCTTCAAGACCATCGGTTGTATAGTCTTCCCCAAAATAATTAGTGCTTTTGGCACTTATATTTTTAGGAACGTTTTGCGGTAGAATATAGGCACCGGGGGGGGGGGGGGGGTCTGGAATACGCCCCAGCGGCCGAAAATCTTATGATTGGTGTAGCGAAATTAAGATTCAATTTTTCTTTTTCCCTGGGGGGTATTCCATATCCCCAGAGCCACCGGTTGAACATTCTCCCCCGAAATATTTAGTGCTTTTGAAACTTTTATCATAATTTTAGAAGATGCGGTGTTCTCTATGAAAAACTATGACAAGAGTCCTTAGGGCTGACCGTTTTGTGGTAGAATGTAGCACCGGGGGGTCTGGGGGGGGGGGGGTATGGGCCCCCCAGACCCCCCGGTTAAACATTCTCCCCCGAAATATTTAGTGCTTTTGAAAACTATGACAAGAGTCCTTAGGGATGAACGTTTTGTGGTAGAATGTAGCACCGGGGGGTCTGGGGGGGGGGGGTATGGAATACCCCCCAGCGGCCGAAGATCTTATGATATTGTGTATCGAAATTAAGATTCAATTTTTCTTTTTCCCTGGGGGGTACTCCATACCCCCCGGTTAAACATTCTCCCCCGAAATATTGAGTGCTTTTGAAAACTATGACAAGAGTCCTTAGGCCTGAACCTTTTGCGGTGGAGTGTAGCACCGAAAGGTCTAGAATACCCCCCAGCGGCGGCCGAAGATCTTATGATATTGTGTAGCGAAATTAAAATTCAATTTTTGTTTTTCCCTGGGGGGTATCCATAACCCCCAGACCCCCCGGTTGAACATTCTCCACCGATATATTTAGCGCTTTTGACACTTTTATTATAATTTTTACTAAGATGCGGTGTTCTCTATGAAAAAGTATGACAAGAGTCCTTAGGCCTGAACGTTTTGTGGTAGAATGTATCACCGGGGGGGTCTGGGGGGGTATGGAATACCCCCCAGCGGCCGAAGATCTTATGGTATTGTGTATCGAAATTAAGATTCAATTTTTCCTTTTCCCTGGGGGTATTCCATACTCCCCAGACCCCCCGGTTAAACATTCTCCCCCGAAATATTGAGTGCTTTTGAAAACTATGACAAGAGTCCTTAGGCCTGAACCTTTTGCGGTGGAGTGTAGCACCGAAGGGTCTAGAATACCCCCCGGCGGCCGAAGATCTTATGATATTGTGTAGCGAAATTGAAATTCAATTTTTGTGGGGATCTGAGGAGGCAGTGGTCCTCAATCGGTGGGTTATCCGGTTGAGGATCTGGGGGTTCGCAAAACGTGTCTCAACCTAAAAAGGAGGCCGTAGGTTGAGAACCACTGCCATAATGAAATCTTTTTTTAATTAAACGCACTGTATATTACGTATTTTGAAAGAAAGTGAAATTTTGAATAAAAATGGTAAACCAACCCCTAAATAAATTGAAATTAAATGAACTATAATCAATTAAATGTTTTCAGTGTATTACAGTTTGCATAAAACGCAGGCGGCCGATATTAAACAAACAAATTTGCTGTGGTTAGCATAGCTACCACCCGCACGATGCAGTTGAGCCACGAACAAATGTCAAAAGTCGAGCGTTTTTTGTTATTTTGCACACCTGCGCATGCGCGATTCTACCCAAAAGCGCTACCTTTTATATCTAAGAATATGATTTGATTCTAATCGGTTCAGCCAGAACTGAGAGTACAGGTGGACAGACCGACCGAGCGCAAACAATGATTTGTTATAAAAAAATCTTTCCGGATTCCAACGCTTATGGCAGTACACTGTTGGGGGAACGAAGCGCTTGGCAATGGAAACAATGTCATGGCCAACTTACAAAAAATCTTAAAATCGTTTACTCGTCATCTCAACAAATAAATGAGTTGCGAATTTTTTATTGGGGGTCGTGTCGGATTTTTGGCCTCGCAGCTCAAAACCGGCTTTTTGGAAAATGCCCATTTTACGGATATAAGGTAACGGGAAAAAAGTAAGCTTCGGAACCGAAAGATGTCTCCTTCTGAAGATATAGATTCGTTGTGGGACACCCTGTATTTATTGCTGGCTCGATATAGCAAACTTCGCACGGACGATTTCCCTCAAGTTTGATATTTGGTGATTTTGCCAATATAAAAATAAAAAAAATCCAAACTATTTTTTGAAAATTCGAAAAAAAAATGGTCCAAAATGCAGTTTGATATTTGAGATTTTTCTACATGTTTCATTGTTAGACCTCCCATTTTAGATTATGGATTTACCCAAAACGATGGCGTTCAAATTGTGAAACAAATTTTCGCACGGAACGTGGGGTTAACGCGTACCCTAAAAGAAAAGGAAGGCGACTTCCGCGTTATTTCTAAAGCATCTGGTGGATGACAGCATAATATCGGTCATAATTTGTGCTTTAAAAGGTCGGCGCATGGATTATTATTGCAATATTACGCTTTGATGATATTTCATGCTACACATTTAATAATATGTACGTAATAAATAAAATGCTACATTACTTCATCTTTTTTTTCTCATGTGAATGTTACGCAAGTACGCCAGTTTCTGTGTTACAAAAGTTTTTATGGTTTTTTAAATACTAACACAGGAAACGCGAACAATTTATTAATCGGGGAAAATGTGCAATTTTTAAAAAAAGATCACCTACCCTCAGTGGACCCTCTTTCAAAACTAGCCTTATGGTTTTTTCCTCAAAATCGTCCATTTTTCCCCAGCTCACAAAGGAATTCACGGGAGTCGATGTGGCACCGTTAATTGCCGGCTATTACTAAACTACACGGCAAGGCGAGGACGTGGCCAAACGAAATCGCGATAACATTTAATACACTTTACGTAGATAACGGCGAGGGGGAAAAAACGAATTGCTTCACATTTTATCCTTGGCCTACGATTTATCTGCATTGGGGGACACCGCAGGGATCGATTGTCGGACCTATACTGTGCAGATGGCGCCCGGGATGATATCGAGGAAGCGCATTCCTGTCGTGCCGTTACC